GTTGTTCTAAAACACGTGATCAGTAGTCAACTTCTTGCCTGTCTCTTAGTTTACTATACGTTTTATATCTCTTCTACTTTACATTTGCAAATAGGTACAATCCTATTTACCAATCCACTACACCTGCCTGAACCAAAGGGGTTTCATGCTTTTAGTTGTTCTCGAACTTCTTCTGCAACTTCTTTCTTCCTCTCCCCCTTGAGGTTTATATCCTGTTCTTTTTATTGCAGATCTTGGTCTTATTTCATCTTCTTTCGTATCCGAGTCACTCCCACTATCATCCATAGGCTCGTTTTCTATTGAACTGAAGAACTCATCCTTTCTTCCCTGTCAACGTCTTTTTCTATCATGGCGTTTTCCTCTTCAATGCTTGATCTTAATTGGTCAGAATGTGCCATTAGGTTTCTTTTCTCCTCTCTTTGATATAATGTCCGTGTTCTGTCCCCTTTGCATGATGAAATTAGCTCTTTCATGACTCGATACTTTGTCTTTCTCATACCGCATTCTTTCATTTGTCGAATACAACATTGTTAACGGAGATCTTATTTGTCTACCCATTAACGCAGATGGGCTTTGCTATCAATCCGCATGTGGAATCGTCCTATAACTAAGCAGTAACCTTGATAAGTAACCGTCTATAGTATCTCTACTTGAATGCTTTTAACCCCATTTTCACTGCTTGCACCATTCGTTCTGTAATCCCATTAGATTGTGGTGTTTTGTAAGGGTAATAGCTAATTCGCCTCAGACATTTATATACATCTTCATCACAAAATTCTGCTGTCTGATACCGGTCTTTTAGAGGCCCCATTACTAGAAAATACTATTAAAAGTTGTATTTTTATTGTAGACGTTTTTCTATCTTTAACTTTAACGATGTCAGGCTACCCAGAGAAGGCGTCTACTGAAATTAGAAATAGTACTATGCCATTAATGTGTGCATAGTCAATATGGTCACGTATCCATAGTTTCGTTTCTTTAGGCCGTGAGTGTAGTATCCTTTGTTGAAAACAAAGGATACTACACTCATGGTTTAAATTTTTGCACATTTTTGGCATTTGTGTACATATCTTTTTATATTGTGATAATACCCTGACCATCATACCTCCAACTTTAATATTCTTTGCGTAACTGTTATCCCACAATGCACATCATCACTTTTTAGAATATCTCTTCTTGCTGAAATTGGTGGTTCTATCACATCTCCATTGCATATAACACCGTTTTTCATCGTTAATTTATGCTGTATTTTTTTATATTCTTTCGGCTTTCGAACAATTATACCACCTGTTTCTTCTCATTCTTTCAGCAATCTTGCTTAATATTGGATCTTGTAGAGTTTCCGATGCCAATCGTTGTAGAGATAATATGTCAGTTTCAACCCAATGTAATATTTCATCATCTAGGATTTTCTATTTTTGATCCTTATTAAATTCTAACCTTGACAGCGCATCGACATGCGGTATAGTATTTCCTTTTACGTACTCAATGTCAAATTAAGAAGCCATTAATTTTATGGCCTATCTTAGAATCCTTTTGGTAGCTTCTTTCTAGGGTTAAGAATAAACTCTAGAGGTTTATGATCTGACTTCAATGGGAACTTTGTTTTAATAACAGTTGTCGAGCCATATCTGTGCTCCAAACAATAGGCAATATCTCTTTTTCAATATATGAATAATTTTTGCTGTCGTCAATCTTCTCGAAAGGCATATTATTGGATGACCTTCTTGCGATAAGAATGCAGGCACATCTCGCTAACGTTACCTCCTTTCTGGGATGAAAGATTTTAACAATGTATTTTTTTTGGCGAGTATCTCTTTTAAATCCTTGAACGCTAACTTTTCTTTTGAGTCCAATTGAACTCACTATTCTTTTTCTGCAGTTCAGTAAATGGTTCTATTAATTCGCTCTAGTTTGGTAGGTATCTTTTATAAAAATTACTAATCCTAAAAAGGATTCTAATATTTTTTTTTATCAGTAGATATAGAGACCTCTGAAATGTCCTTTAATCTTTCCTTTAATCCTTAAGCACCAAGGCAGTTGTCATCTTGATAAATGATAATATTACTGATTTCATCAGTTAACACGTTTTCCATTGCTCTCTGATAAATGACACTTGCCGTGTTCACTTCAAAAAGCATTTTCGTCCATCTTAATAATACAAAGGGCGTGTATATTGCGGCAAATTTAAATCAATTTTTGTAAAACATTTCATGCCCAATAATTTGTGGACTGTGGTTTCGATATTGGGGATAAGAAAAGAGTTCGCATATTTTGTGATTTTTTTTTTACTGCCACCTGGAGGAACATGCTCCAAAATTCCCTCTACCATTTTCTTTAACTTAGCAACTACTAGAGATAGAATATGAATAGGTAATTTACAAGCATTATTCGGACTGTTATATACACAACGTTTCGGCTGTTGTACGCTCGGGCCTTCTTCAGGTGATTGGAATTTTGAACCCTTTATTTCGTCCACCGTGACATACCTTTTCCGGATGTCTCAGTAATTTCCCTTTAACTCAACGATCCAAGTCTTTTGGTTTAACACTGCTGTGGCCTGGTATTGAACTCTCACATCTCTGGATCTAGTCACTGGATCTAACCAACGTCTTTATCCACTGGGCCATGTGTCCTTAGGGACTTATAAACCTAATGTCTCAGCAACAATTTTTTAACAGTGTTCATATTGCAATTTTTCTATTATTAGTAGTAGAACTGTGAATTCAATACCAGGCTACAGCAGTGGGGAACCAAATAAATCGAGTTAAACGGAAATAACTGAGACACCGGAAGAGGCATGACACGTGGAACTAGAACAATCTACCCCGGTGGACGAAATAAAGAGTTCGGTTCGAAATTCCAGTCACCTGAAGAAGGCTAAAATATTGTGAAAATGCCAATGAAGGCGAGGATAACAGTCCGAATAATGTAAATAATGTCAGTAATCATAATACCTCATCTCAGAGATATAGACAGATATTGTAATTTACAAGATTCAAAACAAGAGGGGGTATTATTTTCATTTAATTGCATATTCGCTTTATACCCCTTTAACACTCCCATTTTTACTATTTCTGATTTTACGTTACTGATTAATTTCGACGTATCCTGTTTTAGAACATCAATACATAATAGTTTATGAACCTTTTTTTTTTTACATTCCACTACTATAATAGTAATAATTTAAAATCGACTGCAAGTTTCAAAAGTTCCATTGAAGTATCCCAATGTTTTCGTAAAAGATCCATCAAATCGTCTGAAATTCAGATGAGTTTTCTCAATTTCGGTTTACCCATTTGTTACCAGAAATTTCTTGGGATCAGATTGACTTCACTCCCCGTATTCACTTCTATTGGAAACGTCATGCTATTTAATTTAATGTTTTCAAAAGAATTCTTTTCTTTATGTCTTTGTATTGAAAAGAAAAAAAAGTCATCAATTCTCTCTTCCCCTTTTTCTATATTGTTTAATTTCCTTTTAACTTTGCATACAGGATGAAAATGATTTTGTCTTCGGCAGTTATGGCAATTTTTTCCAAAAGCAGGTCACTTTTTTTTTCTCTGTCAATTTCATTCTCATAATTATTTGCATTTCTATTTGCATTTCTTGCGTTCCTTTTTTATACTGTCCACAGTAAGATTATTATTTTTTTTTAACATTTCCATTTATTGTATAACTTCCACACATGCAGTTAGAGTAAAATTATTCAATTCTAATTATTCCATTATTCTATATTTATGAACTGTATCAGCCATACCTTCACTCAACTTTAACTGAATCAATTCAACCTCAATAGTCACATCTTGAGTTTCAAGTTTCTTAAATTCGCAGAATCTGCTAGATTCTCTTAATCTTTGAAAATATTGCATAATCGATTCCTCTTGTTTCTATTTAATAAACAGAAATTTGGTTGTTTCTGCTATGACAAGTTTCTTTTTAGGTCATAAACTTCTTTTTATAATTTATGAAATTTCGATGAAAGTCAAATCCTCCAATTGTTTCTGGTATGCCATAACAGAAATTTTCATTATAGCTTCACAACCAGCCGAAGCTAAAAAGACGTCAGTTATTTCATTTTCTTCCTCTTGGCTGGTTGTTTTTCAATTTTTAACCCTAGCCTAGATCCAAGTATTGACAAATTCTAGTTCATCCAAGTAACTTAAACGCCCTATCGGTATATTGGGTTGTATTGTTCTACGGCACGTGATCAGTAGTCAACTTCTTGTCTGTCTCTTAGTTTACTATACATTTTTCTACATAACATATACAAATAGGTACAATCCTATTTACCAATCAACTACACCCAGAAACTGCAACTAAGGTCACACCTTGTCAGAAGCCATTGATATATCCAAGGCAATTGCTCTGGTGACGAAGCTGCCACCTGGTGGCGATACTTACAGCTTTGTAAGTTTTGAGAAGAATAGAAATATTAGTAATTAACACCGCAAATGAGTCGGTTGAAATGTTCATAGGCTGACCAAGATGTAAATGTAATTAGACACACCTGTTGGTAGACTAAGAGACATGCAAGTGTACCAGAATACACCACCTGGCCGACCACTTATTTTATTCTGTTACACTTGTATATCCTTTAGTCTACCAAATGTATCTACTTATATATATATATATTATAAATTAATTGATTTAAAATATGTTTTTTTCGCTACACAGTTCCAACCATGTTTCAAAAATAGAAGCTAAAAACCCCGAATTTAATTTTGCAAGTAAATTAAAAGCATTAGTTCCATTTCATCTTCAAGCGAATTTTTCTTCGCTGTTCTTTCTTTTTATTAATATATATATATATATATATATATATATATAGGTCAGCCTATGAATATTTCAACTGACCCTCGTATAAGAAAGAATAAAAACAAAAACAAAAATACCTTTCGTAATGGCCCATTGTATCAGGCAGTGGTGACATGTTAAATTTTGAGGAGCTTCCGCGTACACCTTTAGAATATTATCGTTTTTTATTATTTGAATTATACGAAGAGGGTTCTTTTGAAGGCATTCCTGAGAGATAATGTCACTGGTGGAGTTTCGTACGCATATATACAAATGAATGTTCAAGATGTTTCTGTTGACTGATCCTTTCATAGAGAAATAAAACCGGAAAACTTTGATGCCCATTGAATAGATTTTCGTCGGCTTTCTAGGATATGTCAGTTCACAGTTATCGGGGCACACACAGCACGTTACGTTACTTTTCTCGGCCGGGATCTGGAAAAAAAATATACATGTGTATATATTGATACACAATCATTAAAAACTACGGACTAGTATGTATTTTTTATTTATTTATTGGTTAACTTTTGTTGTTCAAGCAGCAGAGAGCTGTTACATAATTCGGGGGGGGGGTTCAGAATGACCAACTAACGGTCAAAGGACTGTGAGTGTCGACTAGGATTTCCTCGCCATGTGCAGGCTTATCTGCATTTATCTGGGTGTGGGTGGTGTGTTGACCATTCAAATATTTGTGACCGTTTTCCTGTTTTCGTGACTGTTTTAGTATTATAGCAAAAAGTTAAACAATAGCAATTCATCACTGTCTAAAGTTCCTGGGAGGGTTTTAAGAGTATACTACGAACATGCAAATTTCAAACTGTCATTAGCAACACAATATAACCTGTGGGCGCTACAAGTGATGCAAAATCGATATTGTCCATGACTGAAAAGTCGACGTGAAAAAGAAAATTAATACATTTTTCTGTGTTAGGCTTGTATAGCTTTTAGTAGAGGACTAACGAAAAAGTAGCTCCAGTTTCACGGACCAGAAGTGTTTTGTTCACAGGAATACGTTTGATTTTCAAAATACGAACGCTGGCAAAAAAAAAAAGAAAAAGAAAAAAAAGGCATTTTTAAGTGCTTTAATAATTCTTTTAAGCATCATTTCAGTCGTAAATATTCCTTTAGCGGCAAAATTGGTCATCTGTCAGTAAAATAAATAAATAAATAAATACATTTTTGATGAAATTTCATCCGCAAAAACACCGTGCATTTTTCGTAAGCAAAACTAGTATTCATTGTGATATAATTATCCTAACCCACAATAGATACCGCCGTCACCAGCAAGCCAACAACGACGTTGTATCACTCTGGTGGCATCATTATATATATATATATATATATATATATATATAGCGAGTGAGAGAGGAAGAGAGAGAGATAAAGAGAGATGGCAAGAGAGAGAGAGAGAGAGAGAGAACGAGAGAGAGAGAGGAAGGTAGAGAAAGAAACAGTTAACGTTTAAATTTGATTATTGTTCTTTCCTTTATTGATATTCTGTCGTTCTCCAGCGCAGTGTGTGTGTGTATTTGGGGAGAAACCTTTTTTTTAAACAGGTTGAATATGACAGGCAAGGAAAATTTAATTATTTTTTTTATTTAGTTTTTCCAGGATTTATCCATTTCTGGGAGTAAGGGAGTGCAAAAATTGTCCGTATTGTTTATTGTCCCAAGTGCTTTTGATCACTTCTTTAGCCCCTAAATTAATTAAATTTTATTGTTTGTCATATCTAACGATATATATATATATATATATGTAAACACTTGATAATTTTTGTGTTATTGTTAGGTTATTAAAAACAAACTATTGTTTGCAAAAAAGAAAAAAAATCTGTATTCATGCCTCAACAAGTAGAGAATTGCGACAAAATACGTGCACTGAATATAAGAAATAATAGAATATATACAAGTTTAATGCCTTGTGTCACAATAGATATCTCTGTTTGGATAAACAAGTTGAGAAGAACAAAAATGGATAGGTATTTAGATGCATTTCGTATATGATAGAGACAAGTATCTTTCTCTCTCTCTCTCTCTATATATATTTTATGTATAATTAAAAATGTCTACCTTTAAGCAATTTATACACAGTTTACAATCGCGCTAAGACAACATTTACAATAACACAATCAAAAGCGCTCAGAAGGGACATTCATTTGAACAATTTCTTCGCTCAAGTTCCCCGCTTCACATAAAAAAAAAACAAAACAAAAAAAAAAAACCCAAAAAAACTCATGTTAGCATAGAAGAAAATACAATATAAAATCTTAGCGGAAGCATCATGTCAGGCATTTTTATTAAAACATGTATGAGTGAGGGATTTCTGCCCAAATACACGGCTTATATATAAGTGGACATTGAAGTCAGTACCCAGAAGCAACAGTATTTTATGCTAAACGAAATCGTCATGGCCTGCTGATTGCATTTAACAGGAAACAGACTACCGCTTCTGTGTGCTGACTTCAATATCCATTTTTATATTTACATACACTCTATCCCTTATATTGAGCACTTTACCCCGTAAATATAGCATACCTTAAGACTATATTTTATCATATATATATATATATATATATATATATATATATATATATATAAAAAAATATGATACCAACACGCTACATAAGAGGTCCCATGTTTCAAAACAAGAGCCTAAAACTCCAATATAATTAAATTGAAGTTTCCAAAAAAAATTTCGCTTGAACATGGAACAGAGCTTACTTTAACTCAATTTAATTCAAATAATTATATTGAAGTTTTAGGCTCTTGTTTTGAAACATGAGACCTCTTATGTAGCATGTTGGAATCATATTTTTAAATAAATAATTATATTTATGCTCTACTTTTGTATCGAGCACTATTTTTTAAAAATAATAACCTAAATACTAAAGAACTTTGGATTATTTACCTAACCAGTTCTTTCCTATTTTCTATATATTTTCACACACACACACACATATATATATATATATATATATATATATATATATTACGGAAAACTGTAACAAAGTAGAAAAAAATTTTGTGCGACGTGTTTGAATCATAAGGACTTTATTGGACTAAAGTGATGTTTACGTTGATGCAGCTACACATGCGCACAAAGAAGAGTGGAGGTGAGAATTTAAATTTTTAGGTTTATAGTCTAGACGATTTCGTAGTTTTTTTCTTTCTGTTTACGTTTTCATCACTTTTGTCATTAAATAGTTGTCCCTAAAATTGTTCTTGATATATAAAAACTGACATATAGTTTTACCATAATATATATATATATATATATATATATATATATATATATATATATATATATATATACACACACACATATATATATATATATATATAATTACTGATTTGTTCTTAACCGTTTGTTAAAAGTTTGCACGTGGCAATCGTCAGGCACGGATTGAAAACTTGTAATATTAATATTTATAGCCTACTTTTAAGATATTGGAACAGTCCATTTACTCTCTATCTGTTTCTCTCTAATATATATATATATATATATATATATATATATATATATGTATATTTGAAGATGAAAATAAATACTCGTTAAAATTTACAATAATGACTGATAATGTTTCATCTAATAAAATAAATATAATACAGAATAAAATGGCGCTGATAAAGATCGCAAAAATGAAATGATGGTTTTAGTAACTGGTGCATTCAATCGAGAATGGCTGAGACAAAAAGAGATTTGGATCAAAATTTGCGATAAAAAGCAAGTGAAAATTAAGATGAATGCAAATAGTAGTTAAAATTAACAAGGTTTGACAATGCTTTATTTTTAATTTTATTAACTTTTAACTTTTCAGCAAAATTTCAAATTAAACTTAGCTTTTGGAAGTATCAAGATTATAATGTTAACAATTTTTTCTTTAATTTTTCAATTGTTCTGATTATGTGCTTAATCAGTCATGAGCCACATCCGAACATTATGTCCTTTTAAATAGCAAGCCTAATTTCATGAGGAAAAGAAGGTTTTATAACATTTTGTTTGCTTCATTTTATTCTTGCTCACTCACCTCCTTTCATACATTACCACATACAGATATAATGATTAACCGGCACTCCGACTGTAATGTTTAGTAGGCTTGTCGCGCCTCACACACACACGTATATGTATATATATATATATGTGTGTCTATATCTATCTATCTATCTATCTATCTATCTATCTCTCTCTCTCTATTTATAAATATATATATATAAATCAATTATATATAAATCAATTTACGACTGAATTTGAGTCTCACAGGTGTGCCACACACACAAACACACACACATATGTGTGTGTGTGTGTGCGTGTATATATATATATATATATATATAAATCAATTATGACTGAGTTCGGTTCTCACAAGTGCGCCACACACACATGCACACAAATATATATATATTTATATATATATCACGGTTAGCAATGTTAAATTACCGTCTTTTGTATCCATAAAAATAACGTATGAACAAAAAAAATATATATGAAATAATTGTCGGACTTAGTACATTTCATAATATATGATGTCATTTGTTTACGTTAAGATACGCTTCGAGCAGATATGAGCGTTAGAGAAAAATCTGTATTTTAAAAACAGTAATTTAACCTTGCTAATCAGACGTTTACTCTGTATCTAAATTGTATAGCACGTCTGGCTATACGACGATTCCGTGTAGGATACAGGTTCGATTTTATATATTTTCTTTGAGATTTTCCGGACATTCAGGTCGGTTAATGTTGTTAATACTGTTCATTATAAGCAGAGCAATTACTTAAATATTTGTATCTATAAAAATAATGTCTAAAAAAATTTTTTAAATCAATAAAAATATATTAAAATAATATAATATATTACAATATTATATTTCTCTCTCTCTCTCTCTATATATATATATATATATATATATCCCCCAAAAGACAAGAACAAAATAACAAAAGCAACGACAAAAATATTTTTCATCTACGTCGGCAACATTAAACTTAACAGGATTGTCCTGTGCTTATTCATGCGTATTTAGCAAGTCTCCCTTGAGACTGGATGTGAGTACAGGGTCGAATTTTTAACACATACATATGCATATGGACCAAGGATGAAAATTGCCCAGTCCCCGAGACCGCTGTCACCTTGGCGTCGATATTACACTGCACCCCCCCACCTCTCTTAGTACAACGAGGAATGTGCTGCTACAGGATTTAATGCGTCTCCACCCACCTCAAATGAGGAGAACAGTTTACTTCAGTTCACGTCAAAAGCAAACTTCTGTGTCAGGATCCAATGTTCTTTTAGAACACTTGCAATTCCATTAATATAATATTAATAATTATTAGTAATTTGTATTAATATTAATAATATAATGATCAAAATATAAAGACGATATTCGCTGATCATCCGAAACATAATTTCATAATATATGATGTCATTTATTTACGTTAAGCTACGCTTCGAGCAGAACAGTAATTTGACTTTGCTAAACAGACGCTTTCTCTCTAGTTAAAAGTTATAGCACGTCAGGCTATGACGGTTCCGTGTAGAATACAGGCTAGAATCCTGTCGGGGGACACATTTTCTATGAAATTTCTTGGACATTCAGGCCTGTAAATGTAGGTAATACCCTTTATTATAAACAAAGCATTTAATTAAATATTTGTATCTATAAAAATAACGTATAAACAGAATATATATATATATATATATATATATATATATATATATATATATATATATATATATAATAATGTAAAGCAAATTTTAATATTGACATTTTTTCTGGCAGTGTAAAGGTTATCGAATTCTCAAACTACTGCAGCACTAGGAAGTTACATCCAATTGATGCGTATGATCTATCTCACCAAAGACACCGCTTATCATTTAGGTAACAAAAATGTAAATAATAATAATAATAGTTCTCATGGCTCCGATTCTTAATTAATTGGAGGTATTAATATGGACATGGTTTGTCTTGGTAAATAAGATGAGCTAAAGTAAATATCTGTTCAGTATCCCAGATTTTATTGACATTTGCACGACCATAAGCTGTTGGGTATGGCCCCCTCGGGGTTGATGAACTGTGTATTTTTACTCATGAACAAGATTAGTAGAGGCGGGTCATGGCAAAGTGTTGAGAAGGATGTTTTTTTTGAGTTTGAAGAATGAAGAAGCCAAAAAATTAGGAATCTCATCTGGATAATTGGAAACACCTTCAATCGGGGACCGCCTGAGCGGACCGTGTTACCCGACTTGAAGGTATTTTTTCACTGGACCGTTAACGTGCATGTTTTTAACCTGCATGGTTATGTGTCGCTTTTATCAAAACCTGTCACCATATCGTGAACACTTGGCTGAGTTGAATGTAGCTGTATGGACAAGATGTCAATACGATCACACTATTATTATTATCTTGTATTTTATCCTAGGACTTTATAATATTTCCATTCATAATTTAGAAATACTACAAAAACTCTGTGTGTATTAAAATTAGGAGAAAACCAGTAAAAATGGACACGGTTTTTGGACTCTGCGTTCCAAAATTAACCTAAAAAAGGTAAGTTGGCTTGCGCTAAGATATTTGCAGGTCTGTGTAATCAATACAAGTTATTAAATGGGCACTTCGATGTGGGGTTTAATGGTGAGCAAACTTGTTTTGCTAGATCAGTTACGACTGAGTAGTGAGTTCGATCATCAGCGGGTGCTCCATACTTTTGGCCTTGTGCCATATCTAAGCTATGCTTAGCAAATCACTATAAGATAAAAACTAGATTTAATTTTTACTTATGTTCTAGATATTTTGATACAAAGTCGAATAAGAACTATAAATTATAGGAAGTTGTGGAGAGCCATGACCCTCCACACCCTGAAAGGATACGACACATAGAAGACAATAAAGCCTAATAAGCAGTAATAGGATTCAAGGGGTTCGCAATAGTTTGTGCAAGTTATTAAAATTAAACAATTTCGCAGAACCGGTTCTTAAGTAGCCCCCCTAAACCGGTTCTTAAATTCCCTTGGCCGTTCATAAAAAATTAGGGATATAAAAAAAAAAAAAAAAATAGAAACCGGTTCCTAATTTTATAAACAAAAAAATCTGTGCTGTAAAAGAAGAGAGAATACGTTCCTAAAAACCGAATTCCACCACCGCAAATAGTAGTAAGAATAACAGGACACTACGGTAGGCACTCTTATATACTAGTTCGACATTTGTCGCTTCGCTGATTGTAAGATGATGAATTTTCAAATCTAAATTGTTTGCCCATTTAAAAGTTTATCAGAAAATATATATTGCTTACCCATTCAATTTACATTTATTAGGAAATATATCCAGTTTAAATACAGGAGGTGTCATGAAATGACTTCAAAAAGAGGGTTTACACACTTTTTTCCTGTTACCTAGCAATTGTTACATGGCGACACAGATAGCGGCTCGGATTGAGGAATTGGAGAGTAGAGTTTCAAATCCCAGTCGAGTTTGATACGTTCACTCACGTGCAAAATACACTTGGGAAAGGTATAAATCTATCTCTTTTCTCCTCAGCTATAGCAGAACAGAATGGGCCCTACAGCCTTAGGTGGCAACCAGTCTTAAAGAAGGACAACTCTGAATTCAAAACCTCCAACTATGGGTTAAATAGCCTCGTCAATCCGCAATTGGCCAAGCGTGGTGAGTACGGTCAATCAGGGACGGGTTTCACCAATAGGAGTGAGAAGGCCCTGCAGTTGAATTTGGAGGGCCTGCTGTTAGACAGATTATACCGATACAGCCATTGACACAGATGTCAATCTAGCTTCATTCAAATCGTGCCTTTATGTACATTTGCGTGTGAACCTGCATATTCGATGACAGACTGAAAATTATTTCTCCAAGATAAAAAAAATTTTTTTTTTTTTTTTTTTTTAAATAAGTATTTATTACCTAAGAATTTCCGGAAAATTCAATAAAATCATATAATTATCTGACTTTTTACGGTTTAAAATAATTAACATTATTTTTTTTTCATTTTCCAATTTTATGATTTCATTGATGGTAGAGTTTGTCTATATTGAATGGAAGAAGAATGTATTATTCCAATATCTTATTTCAAATTCAGTCAAATTTCATGAGAATGTGTTTGTCAATGCACATTAAAATAAGTAGTATACGCACATGTAAGTCACGCACACACAACACGGACATATATATTACATACATATATTATATATTGCATACGCGCAGACAAAATCACACGCAGATAGTGTGTGGTGGATATAGGATTAGCTTTTTGATAATATAGTTTTAATGTGACACAAAACTCGGTTAAGAAAATGTCAGTTCTAAAGATTATTGTAGTTTATAGTTGCATAATTGGCCATAAGGTCTTCTTTATAATATAAAGTTTTTCGGCAAAGTTTAACATACGTACCCGCAAAAAAAAAAAAAAAATGAAAAAGAAAAAAGAACGGTGTCTCAAAAGGACGTTTTCTTCCTCTGTTATCATCGTTATCACTGTATACTCCTTCGGTAATTTTTATTGTTTTAAAAAGCTATTTTTAGAATTTTAATCCGAAACATGAAAATGGTTCCATGAATTCTTTTTTTTTTTTCTCTCGAATTGACAACAAAAGTATTAAACACTATTCTTGTAAACAAACATTCTAATAAATTAATAATGATTAACATTTTTGTTGTCATTTCTCAAGAAAAAGTTTAAATCCAGAGTCCCGCTGCTTATTTTAGTGAAATTATGTGGCGAGAACAAATGAAAGAAATGAACGGAAAATGTATTATTTTTTAAATTTATAATTACAGTTATTCAGAATAATATGTTTATTTAAATCTTCTTGTTCTCTTGTTCACAGGCATTTTTATAAAATCATGAGCAAAAAAAAAAAAAAATCGTTTTCATAGTTATTTCTTTATAATGTTGTAAATATTAAATATGGCATTGTAGTTGCTTCACATATTTTTATTAGTTAGTGAATATAAAATTATTCTTGTAAATAAACCATATAATCAATAAATAGTGTTTAACATTTTTGTTGTCATTTTTCGAGAAAAAATGTATAAATCCAGTTTCATAGGTTTGGGTTTTATGAAAATTCAAAAATAAACTTTTAAAAACAATAAAAGTTGCCGAGAAAGTTTACAGTAATAGCGGCGATAATACAAAACCGACTTTTTGATCGATTCATTCATTCATTCTCTACTGCTTATCAACCCATTACAGGTTATTTAAGGCCAGAAAATATTTTTAGATTGTAAGGATTTTCTTTTTTGGGATAATAATGGTTTAGTGATACACGTTAGTACCCATGGCTGGGTGGTGGGGAAAGGTGCATTTGATACTTTTCCCAACGGTATTTGCGCGTAAGTGAATATAACGAACCCAACGGGAATCGGAACTTGGCTTTCTGATTAACAATTCCGAACAGTTATCCACTGTACCATCCGCACATCAAACCTTACAGCACCTGGTGTTCCCAAGCGGTCACCCATCTAGGTACTAATCAAGCTCGACGTTGCTTAACTTTGGTGGATCGTACGGGAACCGGTGTTTCAACGTGACATGGCCGTAAGATTCCGCCATCTTTTTAACACACCGTTTTTGCGGGTATGTTAAGATTTGCTAGTTTTTCTATGAAAAAAAATATTAATGGCAGTTTTTCATCTAATTATGACCATCCCCTAAAAAGATGAACGTTAAGACAATGTTAAGATGTAAAACAAATATTCTTAGATAGAGACAGAGATAGAGAACTAGATTCTTAAATAGAAAGTCATGAACAGAAATAGATAAACGGATAAATATGGACTGGCTTGTGACAGCTTAATAGAGGAATAACTTTAGATTTACGCTAATTGGACATGAAGTAATACTAAGAAAACAATATAAAAAAAAACTGTCGGTGTAGTTTAGAATTATCAGTCGATATCTCGGCCGGTGACATTCATCACTATATTATTCCCTTAGGGCAGGAAAAAAATTAAAACTAATTTATCTTTGTAGAAAAAAAGAAAACAATAATCAAAGTGCTGGTAAATATACGAAAAAAGTTACTGATGTAATATAAACGAGAATATATAAATAAAAAGAAACAGGTTTGATTACCATGCAAGTATTATTTCTTGAACTGTCTCTTTGTCTTGGAGAGACGAGGAAAACCCTGTCGTTGTTAAAGGCGTCAGTTTTAAGAATTGTAACGAAAATCGGCACGAGTAGGATGAAGAATCGTAAATGTGAATCCATCGTTTTGAAGTTGGAATTACTAAGTATTTAGTTCTTAGACGAAACAGCAAGCAAGGCACCCAGAGAAGCCAAAACAGTAAAAATTAATACACGTTATGAATAGTTTCACTGTGGGAAAGACCAAACGAGCGAGCACACAATGGTCTTGCTTCTCTATAGTGTGCCGGAGTGTGCCACCTTTATTTTTATTATCAGTGAATACCGTTCTGACATGTGGAAGAGAAAGTACTGTTTATATACCTGTCTCGAGTAAGCGAGCGTTTTTTTTTTTCATTATCTTGCAAGTATTGGGTATGTAGTTGGAAGTGGGGGAGGGTAATTATTTTGTTCGTGATAAAAGACAGACATACACCTTGCAGTTCCGCCTTAAAAAAAAAAAAAATACATGAATTAATTGACGCTCCTATCCAATCAGAAGCAAACGTTCCTTTGCTCGTTATACATGGATGACTTCACCAATAAAAATCGGCGGAAACCATTGCGTTTTTTCTGAAATTATATTAATATCTATTTCTGCTTCGTATAAAGATTCTTTCATGTTTTTATATGAATATGTAAATGATGAATTAGGTTTTTTTTATAAGTCTGCTCCCCAAAAGTAAGCAAGCGTCAATTCTTTAAACACAGCCAGTTTTGTCGTGTATTACAAAAGTTAAAAAAAAGAAGCCGTTCATGATAACCTAAAGTTATCAAACTTATTTTAAGACTTGTCTCTTCAAGACGTAGGTTGATCATGGCTCTCTCTTTTCTTTATTATCTGTGAATCACTATCAAAATTAAAAAAAAATCAATTAAATAATAATAATAATAATAATAATAAATGATACAAATAGACCAGACAGAAAAAGGAACCTGTCAACTAATTGATATAACTTGCTCACAGGATCAGAATATTTCTAAAAAAGATTTTGAAAAACTATCAAATCATAAGGGCCTGTAAATTGAAGCAAAAATATGAAAACTTTAAACTACAGTTATCCTTGTAATGATAGGGGTGCATTGTATCTGATAAAGAAGAGGGGACTTGATAATTAGGCACTTAAAGATAATAATGATAATAATAATAAATTTCATTTTAACATTTATAAGGTACATTTAAAAAAATAAAAAGGAATTCTTATCAATTCAGTTAAAAATAAATATTTTTTAATGTCATATGTAAACAATTATGGCTCTCCACAGTTTCCTTTCCTTTATTATCTGTGAATAGCCATGCTTTTTTTTTTGAAAGATAGTAGAGTGATTTTCCGTTGCTTTCAATGTTTTGAATTCGAAGTTGTCCTCTTAGGCTAACTGCCAACCAAATCTAGAAAGTCTACTTTCCCCTATTTTATCCGTCACTCATTTTTATTTAAAAGAATGAATTAAAAAAAAAAAATTAAACCAATACATTTCATGGTACTTTTTTTAACGTACGTTTTTAAATAAAAATGAATGACAATAAGTATTTTTTAATGCCTTATCAATGCATTATTATTATTATTATTATTATTATTATTATCTGTGAATTGCCATGATTTCTTGGGAAGGAAATTGAAGCGATTTTCTTTTATCTCCTTGGATTTTGAATTTAGAATAATCTTTCGCACAAGGAAAAATAGTGAAGTGGTTTCTTGATGCTTTCTCTGCAGTTTTGAATTCACAGTTGTCCTTCACCTAGACTGGCTTCCGCCCAAGGCTAGAGAGCTCTCCTGCTATTTAACCGATAGCTGTAAAGAGAATAGATGGGTTCATATCTCAAGGGATAGCAGATGAGGCCAGAATCTGAGCATAGCTCACCGATTCTACTGCTACTTTCCATGCACATCAAATAAATACATAGGAATTGTTTCATTTGCTTAATGTTATCACCCGTTATTATTGTTATCTTAACGTCCTTGTCCCAATGTGATCACAATGAGCCGCCTCTGCTATATATTCATGTGTAATAATGAACGGCGCGATTTTTTCTATATACTTCTTGTTTTCTCTGTTCGTAATTTGTCACGCATCAAAGCAAATAAATCCAATAAGCTTAATTCGAATATTCCATCAGGAAGTAATCAAACAAGTGATATATTCAGTTTGTATGTATGCGTATTGTTAGTTGAATGGTACGCTAAAATAAGTTTTCAATTAATAAGTTGAACAGCGTGTACAGATTCTACAAAAGTCCTATGTATAATGACAATTCGATTTTCGGTAGGATGCGCAGATAGTTTGATCATCGGTAGAGTGCACAGATACTCCACTGATCACAGGCAGAGAGCACAAATACTGCACTAATCAGAAGTTCTGATTCATGCATAAATAATGCTTTCATTTTTGTGGGTACTGTTCTAATTACTGAAAAAGGAAAAAAAGAGCCAAATCTTAAAATATACAGAGATTTTTTTAAATCGTTTTACCTCAAGCAAAGCAATAAAGCCACTAGGAAACAAGAGGTTACTGAGTGTTAGAGAATAAGAGGAAAATATACTATTAAGGAGAGAGGACAATAAAAGAAGAAGAATTAAGAATGATGTTAACGATTGACATTGCATTTAAATTTTTGAAGATCAAAGTTGACTGATACACAAGAAGTCGTAAGAAAGTTCCACAAGCGAGAAATGCGATAGAGGAAACTGGCATAGAATTTACGGTTACATTTAACCATTTACGGTTACATTTAACCATTTACGGTTACATCTAACCATTTACGGTTACATATAACCATTTACGGTTACATTTAACCATTTACGGTTACATCTAACCATTTACGGTTACATATAACCATTTACGGTTACATCTAACCATTTACGGTTACATCTAACCATTTAAACTGTAAATTGATGAGACCTGGTCGCCAGTCTATTACTTTGCTTAAATTCATAAAGTCTAGGTACCGTAGATGTATAAAAAAAGAAAAAGAGAAGACTGGATTCTAATTAATTTCATAGACAAAACATCTGGGGTGTAAGAGAAGAGAGAACTCGCTTCTAATGAATTCGAACACCACCATTGCAAATAATAATAATAATAGTGAGAGGATTATATGCATATCATCCATAGAGTTCGTAGATACTACACTGATGAGAAGCAAAAGTGCTGATCCATATATAAATTTTTCATTTTGGATGGGTAATGTTCTGATTACTGGAAAAAAGAAAACGGTCATATATTATATCTTAATTTGGCTTAGATTAGCAATATCTAATTCTGATTTTCAAAAGTGAAGAACGTGGCCCGTAAGAGATGAATTTTAAATGCAAAGAAAGAAAAAACAGAAAAGCTGGGAATAGGGATAAAAAGTAACTTAAATCCGAGAGGAAACATTTGTTAAGAATTAACATTGTCTATTTTTTTTTTTTTTTTTTACTTTAATTTCATTTTAGTTGCTTTTAAACTCCCAGATGACCATTCCATATTTATGAATAAGAATTATGTTTTGTTTAATTTAAATATATTCTTTATTTATTTTGGGAGAAGCCGAGAAAAGACCCCCCGAACATGGAACTGTCCCACCCATCCCACAGGTCGTAGTTTACAATAAAATTAGGGTTAGTAAGTCATGATTTTTTTCAATAGTGTTCACATTGTGTAAGGCCCGAGAGCCACTCGGGGTAGAGGGTTACAGAGTAAGAGGCACAGTTTATGTGGATATGTGGGGAAAATAACGGTTAACCTTAGACTTGAATAGGTTAAGATTTTAGTGATCTGGGAAACATCCTCTTGGGAGTCAGTATGGAGTGCTTAAATTCCAGCAAAAAAACCCCCAAAAAACCGAATAGCTGGTTCACCTCTGAATGCGTTGCAGCCATAGTTTATTGTAACCATTAATACAATCTATACCTCAAGGAGCGGTGTAGTTGAACGCTTGCAGCATTCAGAAATTGACCGCAATCATTGCAAGAAAGTTCTATAAAATGCAAAGTGTAGCTATGCACAAACAATACAGGCCAAGGTTGAAAACAAACGAATTGAATCTCGGGAGCTCCAACCAATTTCTGAATAGAGGCAAAGCGTGGGTCCCCACTATTATAAATGTCCCCGAAATTATCTCATCCTAGTCAGATAAGCCGAAGCTCTTCGCCTCGATCTTTGCCTGTAACGTAATTTTTAGATGATATAGGCCACCCACTTCACGACTTCCCCCGTCTCACTGAGCACAATCTCAGTAGTATTTTTATTACAGCGCAGAAAGTCTCAAGACTTATCAAATGTCTTGACCCTAAGAAAGCCACTGGTCCAGACAAAATCCCAATAGTTCAATATGTTTACAATAGACAGTTCGAATCTTTGATTTAATAAATCGTCCCTATTTAAAAATCTGATTATCTGCATTTTCTCCTGTAAACACAGAAAACAAGGTTCATATATATCCTAGCTAGTTTTAAAAATTCCATTTAACTTTAGGAGTTTTAAGAATATCAATGCAGAATTATTCTCGATCTTAGCAAAATTATTTAACCTCTGTTTGAAGGATAAATCCATGTCTGTGGATGGTGTCAAGTTTTCAAAAACGCGGGTGAGCGCTCCCGCCCCCTCTCAGTATAGACTCATCAATTTCCTCAATGCCATTAGCAAGCTTTTTGAGGCTATAATCAACAAGAAGGTTGTTGATCGCCTAAATAGGAACAGTTTCTTGAACGTCAAGCAGTACCGGTTTCGATCGAGCCAATAAGAATACGTGAGACACTAGAGAACAACTACATGTCAAGGACGATATCATTAGCTATTTAAAACGCCTTTGACAAGGTGTGGCATAGAAGATTACTGCATAAGCTCTCTAGCCATGGAATCACTGGAAAAGTCTTCTCAATTATAAAGTTCTTCCTAAGTGAAGGTAGTTGTTAACGGCCAGTCCTCCGAACAGTCAATACAGGTGTCCCCCAGGATCGATTCTCGGAACAGCTCTCTTTTTACTTTACCTAAATGATCTGCCTAAGAGTATGCAAACATGGAAAAATAGTCTGTTCCCTATAGCGTTCCAGCAAGTACTTGTTCTATCCTCTACCTTTACAAGAGTTAAATCAGGCTGA